TGTTCAATACTTATTTTACCCGCTGTACGTTAAAGTCAACTCACTCTGTTCCAGAACATGTTGGTGGAGTTACGCCCACAGTATTGATAATGCTCCTGGCAGCAGCGGTCAGGAACTACCTTCTCCTTCAGCGCCTCGTGCCAGTCGGTGTACGCTATTACACCGCAGCACTTCCACTGCGGATGACAGACACGCATTTAACACAAGATTAGTGAATGGTTCTTGATAGACTTACAATTTAACTCTAACATTTCCTCTAAATCCTTCTGCCTAAAGAGGACTAATAAAAATGGACTGACACGCACTGCAAKAGCTATTTCCGAGTTTTAATGTCACATTAATGTTAGCAACAAGCCTGGTAAGCACATCGCCCGGAACATTTCAGTATAGAACTTCTGCATCTGGGTGATTAAACATTCATGCCACTGATGTGCTCAGCGTGATGTGTGATGTAAGGTCTACCAACCTCCGCCTGGATGATATTCCACGCATTTCGCAGGCCTATGTTGTTTTCGGAGTTGTACAGAGCCAGCCCATCCTTCAGATCCTGCTTAGCATTCTCACTCACCTGGAGATAAAGAGAAAACATTAGCCTTCATTAGAGACCTTATTTTAAAAGTGGTTGGCTCAGCACGAGCAGTCATTTGAGTAATAGCATTCTTTAGAGACTTTATGTGGTCTAAAGGCTGGAGAAGGCATCGCCAGCCTGAGTGTTTGCAGCTCTGCTTTCACATGTTTTGCTCTTTTCAAAATGACACATTTTTCATACAAATACAACAAATACAACTAATAATGTCAWTGTCCACGCTGTGCAGTGAGTGCTTTTAGAGGACTGCGTGTGACTGTTTATGCATTTACTCTTTTTTCCCCTCCTTATGAATTGGCTAATGATGTTGAGTCAAACATCATAAGTGTTTATCTGAAAGTTCTGTAAGAATACAAAACATAACCAGCAACTACACAACCATGGTACAAGAAAACTAGTAAAAAGTGCATGCTTTTATTCAAGTTTTTTCACTTCTGTGGGGGGTAATTTTAGCCTTTTAGTTGTGCGAGATGCATGCACTATTCACTTTGGWCCTTTTTTAATGGTTGTTCACACAAATTTGTGATGGTGTTTGGACCATGACACAGCAGGAGCCATGGGAAAATCTTGCATTTGTGCCTTTTGAGGTAATCCTTCAAGGTGCGTAAAGGTTGATTATCCAAGGCCTTCTTTTCTCCTCCTTTTAGGTGCAGGTGTGATGGTAGCTTACAAAATTCAATGGTATTTAACTTAATCCATTTTCTCCTTCAGGCACAACATTTCCAACACCTCCAGTGTCTAACAGATGGAGAGGCAGACTTTGTTTCCCTCCCAAAACATACGTTTTTGCTCACTGCAGCAAAAAATGTTCTAATTAAAATTTATCAGCTTGTGAGAATTCTTTTCATACTATGTCAAACGTAATAAGCTGTTCATTATCAGACATTGGTTTTTGTATTGTCTTCTGCGGATGCAGGGATGTTGATCCTCTCCTGATCCTGAAATAAACATTCTGTGTGTGRGTCTGTGCACAGCACAACTCCTGCATCATCTGATTTTGACTTATAGAGTTTAACAAAATAGACTTTAGGTTTTCCTTTTCTAGCATGCCAACAAACAGTTATCCTGTAAAAAGTTTTTGTTTTGTTAGTTGTAGTAAAAACTGAAGTGACAGCTAATTGAAAACACTTYATTATATTTCCATCCTGTAAAAGAGGAAAGTCTGAATAACAATATTTTTGCTTGTTTCTGTGCGTCTTTGGTGTCTGTGTGCCCAAATTCAGGGGCTGTGTCCTTCGAAGGACCCGGTCTACCCGGTCTACATGAGCCAGGTCCTGTTTATTATCCTTCACACTTATCYCACTTATCCTGGCATACGTCACGTCGTCTAACCAATGTGAAATCACAGAAGCAATGAAGGTCAAAAATAGATCAGTTAGAAACATACAGCGGGTAAAATTAGTATTGAACACTTCACCATTTTTCTCAGTAAATATATTACTAGAGGTGCTAATG